TCATCGAATGACTTCTCCCGCCTGGGTGAGGCGGGAGGGAGTGTCAGACTCTTACTGACTAAAAACCACCCCGTTCCTTCTCCTATACGGCGAGCCGGAGCCCCGGTTACCCGTTAGGTTCTCCATATCCTGATTAATTTGCCACAGGCCCCGAAGAATATATATATACTACGTTAGTTTTGAGCTGCGACGCAGCATGGGCTTTTTGTGTGTACTAGGTACCTGTATTTTTGTGTGTCGTGGCGTAATAAATGGTTTTTATTTGTTTTCTTTCTTTCTTTACGCCACTGGTTTGACGACTACGTTTATAAAAAAATTCCCGGACAAAATATTATTAGCACCTTTATACCTATTTTTTTTTATGGAATAGGAGGCAAACGAGCAGACGGATCACCTGATGGTGAGCGATCAGCGCCGCCCATAGACACCCGCAACCCTAGAGGAGTCACAGGTGCGTTGCCGGCCTTTTAAAAAGGAGTAAGCTCTTTTCTTGAAGGTTTGAAGGTCGTATCGGTTCGGAAATACCGCCGACGACAGATCATTCCACAGTTTTGCTGTGCGAGGGAGGAAGCTACGTGAGAAGCGCACAGTTGTGGCCTGCCAACCATCTATATGATGGGGATGTATAAGCTGAAATAATTGACATCGTTTGGGTTTAAAGGACCGAGACCCATAAATAATGGCACAATGATGAAAGACTTTTTTTGATGCGTTTAGTTTATTTACCCTTATATGGGGATGAAACAGATTAGGGCTGGACGTTTCCACAGCGAATTCAAGAATCGAGAAAATCGGCGGGAATGCGGAGCGTCTTCGAACACGCTCACTGACTCAACGTTTCGGCAGCGACCAAAGAGTATAATAACTATAGGGGAAGCAGCGACTGTTTATACTCTTTGGACTGTTGGCGCGACCGCCGAGCGCGGCACGGAGCGGAGCCCACTCGAGCAAGACGTGGGCAGGGCTTTGAATTTTAAATTTTACCGCGAATTCACAACGTTACCGTTACCATTGTTCTTATCGCGCTACAAAGGAGATTTTTAACATAAGTGTTGCCTACAGGGGATCTAAAGACACATTTCTATCTTTCTATAGATCCCCTATAGAAGTAGCTCCCTAGAAAAGTCACAAATATTCTACAAGCTTACCTGCATATCAGCAACCGTTAATGGCGGCTCATCCTCTCTCAGTACCGTCTCGCCGTCCAATTTCTTCAGATTTGGAAGTCTGCGGGCCGCTTCAGAACGCCATGCTTCTAATTCACAACCATCATATAGAGGATTCCCAACGAATAGTAGATCTTCTAGATGAGGTAGTTCCTAGAACATCATCAGCAGTCTATAAGGGTCCGCGGCCTACCAAAGGCCTCTTCTCACACGGAGAAGGTTCGAGCATTAATCGCCACGCTTGCTCAATGCGGGTTGGCGATTTTTATTTTGTTAGAAACCGGTAAACGAGCAGACGGGTCACCTGATGGTAAGCAATCGGCGTCGCCCATGGACAACCGGCCGGAACACCAGGGGCGTCACAAGTGCTTTTCCGACCTACCTTTTTCAGAAATTGGGGAGATTGGAGAAAGGGGGAGGGGGTTGGGTCTCCGGTAACCTCACACACGCGAGGAAACATAAAGCAAGCGTTGTTTCACGTTGGTTTTCTGTGAATCAAGTTTACAGATTGGAGAGTAAGTTCATCTACTGGCGATTGTACTACTAAGATGTTCATTTACCTGCAACTTATTGAACTCGCTCCACTCTTTAACCAAATTATTGCTCATGTATAACACTTTCAAACTCCTCAATACATGAATTCCTTTCAGTTTTTCAATCAAATTGTACGATATCCACAATTCTTCTAAGCTTTCACCCAATGATTCCTTTAAACAATACATATTTATGCATCATAACATAACATAACATCACGCACTTTATCCCCGAAGGTAGGCAGACGTGCACATTATGCCACTGTACAATGTAACACCCACTTTTCACTATTTATGTTATAAATCCCATGTAATAGGGGGTGAGCTTATTGCCATATACCGGATACATTTCCCGACTCCGAGCTACTACTGAAATTTAAATAAAAAACAATAATACTTTCCCCGACCCGGGAACCGAACCCGAGACCTCTGTCCTGGCAGTCGCACTTGCAACCACGCGGCCAACGAGAATATCTCCTGTGCTAGCTATGCTAGCTACGACACTGGTCCTCTACATAAGAGGGTTGGCCAAATCTCCGCCGATCGTGGAGATAATTCCTTCTTATTTTTTAATGGGACAAGCCCGCCCCAACCTCCCAAAACCGCTGCAACTCCTGTGCACCAGGATCTACAGTAGATACAACCATGACAACACCGTAACACTGAAGTCCAACGTCCCAGGGACATGAGTAACTGTCTTGGTTCCCGCAACGACAGTTAACGATGGTTAACGACAGGCCCCTCTTTCCCACTGGGCACTATGGGCACGTGCCCAGGGCCCCGCAATCGAATGGGGTCCCCTAGTCAGATAGATACGGCAAGGCTGCAAAGAATTTTCAAAAAACTATCACGAAGATGTAAATGAAAAAGAGTTAGAAATAGAATGTCAACATTTAAAAGAATACTTAAAAAATGTTCAGAGTGAAAATGAAGCACCTAACAGTGTACAGGAAGTATATATAATAATATATTAAAGCAAAACAAAATTTATAAGACACATTTCCTAACGTAGAAATTGCATTGAGAATATTTTTAAGCATGGTGGTAACTAACTGTAGCGGAGAACGCTCCTTCTCCTAAAAATTAATTAATAAATGTACTTCTTAAACTGTCAAACACCGCGAGACACCGGTGACCGCAACCTATTGTTCTTTAATTGTGTCTATATTGACGGTGCTCGACGTGTTGTTAAATGCTTGAAGAGATTACCTACTTTGTCGCTGATGTCCATAGAATGTGATATACTCGATACTATAGATTTTGAAAGAATTTGCAATCAACATATAATGAATCTAAGAATTTTATGCTAAGCGAGTCATTTTTGTCGATTATTTTTTATTTTTCTTAATTTTTATAGTTTGTAGGTAACTAAATAAAAATAAATTTGGAACCTTGTTTGTCTACTTTTTTCTCTATTCTTCTATCTATTATAACTAAATAGTGTTTTCTCAAGGTCATGGGGCCCCATGATCTTAATGTGCCCAGGGCCTCAAATAGTTTAAAGACGGCCCTGGTTAACGAAATAGTCCTTTTCATGTGGCGTAAGTTCATTATCAACAGTTGGTGATACTCTACTGCTGCACTTCATAGTGCATAGACAGACTCATATTTCCTCTACATAAGAGGGTTTGCCATAATCTCCGCAGGGTTGGAGATCGCAGTATACAAGGTTCAGGTTTATCTGTATAGGAGTCTCTTAGTGACTGTCTCGTTGGCTGAGTGGTCGCAAGTGCGACTGCTGGGCAAGGGGTCTCGGGTTCGATTCCCGGATCGGGCAAAGTATTAAGGGGTTTTTTAAAATATCAGTAGTAGCACGGAGTCTGGAAATGTGCCCGGTATATGGCAATAGGCTCACCCCCTACTACATGGGACTCATAACATAAATAGTGAAAAGTGGGTGTTACATTATACAGTGGCATTAAGCGCCGAAACGTGCACCTCTGCCTACCCCTTCGCGGATAAAAAGACGTGATGTTATGTTATGTTATGTCTCTTAGTCGGGTCAACGACATCCGCGGGATGACTGGATGAGTAGAGGCGGTGTCACTGAATTTTCTCTAGCTGTAGTAGTGCAGTAGTAATTGGGTACTCGCCAACTAGTCAAATTCAATACTTTTTTCGAACTGTAAAAAACGACAGTTTTCTATGAATTTTGTACGAGATTGTGTATTGTGACGTCACGTTTTTTTAGCGTCAAACAGCGTACTTATTTCTTAAAAATTTCCTAGAAAGAATACTGAAATTGAGTTGGTCATAAAATCAATTAATGAAAGTGCGATTATTTTTTATTGTTTATTGTATTGAACAGTCGAAATAATTTATTTTTGACTAAGAAAAGTACCCAATTGAAATTATCTTTATGTTATTTTTAACTTACCATGCCAGTAAATGATTTTATATAATTCCGTCCCAAAGATAATACACGTAATTTTTTAAACGTATTCAATCCGGTTACTTTTTCAATCATATTCGTTGACAAACTCAGTTTTCTGTAAATTATTTATAGAAAATAATTAAAATTGTATGTTCCGTTTTGAAAAAAAGCGCGAAAAGTACTCCAAGTTTCCGGATATCGAATACAGATAAACAAGCAAATAATTACTGCAATGACATTTGCATGAACTGCCTAGTCCAAAGTTCCAAATGAATATACAAATTAAATGTATATTTCACAAACTATATTTTATTAGTATTACTTACTCGCAGTTAGTCAGAGTAGCGAGTGTATTGTCCATTTTTTCAATAGGAGGCCATTGAAACATTAAACTGACTTCAGCGGCCGTAGCCGCTTGTTCACCCGTTTTTTCCTCCCATTTCTTTATAGCTTCTTTTATTGTAGTAGCTTTAGCCATTTTTTAATATTTTTATTATTTTTTTGCGCTTTACCGTACATTGACTGTTACTTGGTTACTCGGCTATTGATCAAATAAAATAATTTCCTAGAAACGGAAATATTATCAAATACAAATAAAATCACTGTAAAATGGACTTAATAAAATTACCATTTATTATTTTAAGCATTACATCATGTAATCCGAAATATCGACATTTTATTAAAATAAAAATCTATTTTTATTCAATGTTGCCACATACAAGAATTCCCTCCCTAACTACGCAATAACTAAAGTCTTTCGTATGCTTTGTGTCATGGAATGGCGTCCATTTCTTTAATAAAACCACGCCTTGTAATTCATATTGATTTGCGTTTATTTCGTGGTTTCTTTTAGATTCACAATCGACAAATCAACAGCCTTGAAAGATCTTTTTAGGTAAGTGTCATTTTTATTTTGACATTTGATTACGCCATGCTTTTTTTTTAATTTTTCTTTTTCGGCTTCTTTTTTTTAATTAAAAAAAACAAACGCCTATCTATTCTCGGACGGATGAAAAATAGTGTTTTCGATGATGAAAGTGTTGAAATTTTTCACATATTTGCAGTTATTCAATGTAAATGAACAGTTTCCAGATTTATGAGACGATTATATGTTGACTTGTCAGCACAATCAATAATATCAAATACCTTTTTTGCAGTGTTTCCAACGCCATAGTCTAAGGTTTTCTTTTTATAAAAAGTTATTTTTGACAATTTTTGATTCCCGCTTTTTCATTATTTATTTGAATTTGTATTGCATTTTTTATAGTTTATTTATTTGCTTATTCCTTTTAATTTTGTGATATATTTCACCCGTAGCATTTTGTAAGTAGCATTATATGGTAAAACATAACCTTTATTATTCATTCAGAATTCATTGTATTCTCATTGTAAATATCATTAATATAATCTGTAATTGCTGCAATTGGCATTGTTGTAGAAATTACACATTATTATTTCGATTTCATTACGTAATTACAAAGCTTATAATTGTAAAGACGATGTCTCATTAGATACAATTCATAAAAATAGTTCAATATTTGATAATTTCAGAGTGTTTAACAACAACAATGGCTGAACCACAAGAAGAGCGTTTTGTAAACGTTATTCCAATGCCGACTTCTCGCGCCAAAGTTAAGGTATGCTCAATAAAGACAATATTTCAAACATCTTATTATCTATTGCAACTCCATCAACTAAGGTAAAAAGAATTCTATATGAATGACTAGCTATTGGATTGGTCTATCAGTATGCTAAATTTTATCCAAGTCCATTTAGTTTCTTGTTTACGAAATTGACTGAAATTGTAATAAATATGTCAGTTGTTGAAGGTCCATGTTGCAAACCTACCAACGGCAAGTACCAATGTGACTTTTTCCGAGTTATATGTGCTTTCTAAAATTGCCCAGACACCACTGACAAACAGTGAAGGAAAACATTGTGAGGAAACCTGGACTTATAATTTCTAATATAAGTATATAATCGCTAACCAGCATTGAGAAAGCGTGGCGATTAACTCGTTGAGTACCGTCATTATAGACACAATTATAGAACAATAGGTTGCAGTCACCGGTGACCGCTTGGTGTCTGACAGCTTAATGCTCAAATCTATTCTGTGTGAGAAGAGGCTTTGCTCAGCAGTGGGCATTTATAGGCTGTTGATAATGATGTCAGTCAGAGTGTAGCAAAGGATGTGCAAGGGATTAAGAACTATGATGAAAAGGTTTCCAAGTCCCTTGCACTCCATTTGCTACACTCCAACCAACGTATCCCTCAAACTCAACCCTTTGTCTCATGGTATACAGAAGTCATAGATTGCCTACTATCAATGTCAGCAACAACTTGAAATAATTCAAACAGTCCCCAACAATCTTTAAATTCCTAATCCCCAAAAGGCTGGTAACGCACATGTAACGACTCTGGTGTTCCAGGTGCCCATGAGCGATGCTGATTGCTTAATGCTTACCATCAGGTTATCCATCTGCTTGTTTACTAACTTATCCCATAAAAAACTCTTTAGTTAAATTCATTTCCTATATCATTTACCTTAAAATTTTTCCTATACTTCTTCTTAGTAATTAAAAAAACCACAGATCATAAGAGCATGCCTTATTTGTTACAGAAAGAAATATTTCATGATAATGACGATGAATTCCACTGCCGACTCTGCTGGAAAGGGTTTGCCAGTGAGGTAGCACTCCGGAACCATGCTCGCATGGAGCATATTGATGCTTATGCTTCCGGAAACCCTGCGGTTTGGACTCATGCCAATGACAAGGTGAGAGCTTAATCTAATCTATACATCATCAATACATAGTATAAAACAAAGTCGCTTTCGTTGTATGTCCGTATGTATGCTTAGATCTTTAAAACTACGCAACGGATTTTGATGCGGTTTTTTTTAATAGATAGAGTGATTCTTAAGGAAGGTTTGTATGTATAATACATGCATATTGCACCCGTGCGAAGCCGGGGCGGGTCGCTAGTAT